CATTATAAAGGCAAAAGGAGAAATTCAACTTGTCGAAAACGTTTCGCGGCTCATCCAAGCTTCAGTTCTGGTCAGACGCTGGTGGACACTGTGTTATCTCTGCCTGTAAGAATCAGAATCAGAATTTATTTGTCATTTCAGTATAAAAATCTACACAGAAACGAAATACTGCACTCAGGTCCAGGTCAACAGCAGCACAGATAATAATAAGAATAAGAATAACAATAGGCCCAACACCACCCGTGGCGCTCGGGCCTAATAAACAGTTTAAAATATTGTACAGTCTATAAAAACAGCCCCCACCCACCCGTCGTTTTCTAAAGTGTGTTCCAAGTCAGTGCTGTTTTGTAAGGTGCATTAGTGTCTGGGATTTCTGACAGAACTGATCTGTCTCACGGCATCAGGGTAAAAACTGTTCCGTAGTCTGGTGGTCTTGGCCTGTAGATGGCGCAATCTTCTGCCTGATGGGAGAGCTGTAAAAAGTCCATGTTCTGGATGGTGGAGTCTCCATGATGCTGTGGCTTTTGTCCTGCACCTGCTGATGTAAATATCTTCAATGCAGGGCAGACTACAGCCACAAATGCTCTCAGCAGCTCTAACTCCCCTCTGCAGAGCTTTCCTCTCTGCCACGGTGCTGCTGCTGAACCAAGAAGGAGCTAACTCCACTGAAACTACTGTGAAACTACATTATTACACATTATAAACCTCACCAAAAAACAAACAAGGTCAGATGGTTTGTAAATCCATGTATCATTCGTTCATTCATTTTTCAATATAAAACCAAAAATAAGAAAATGAAAAAACAACAGTTTTCTTCATTATTTATCTCCAAAACCAAAATGAAAAAACAGATAACAATTTGTTTTTTCAGTTTTCATTTTGTGTTTAAATGAAAAATGGAAAAAATAGATAACGGCCGTTTCCTGTTTATGTGACTTCCGTGACTGTGATGCTGGACTTTTGAGCTGCATACGGACTGAACCAGGACTGATCCAGGTCCGGGACCAGACCGGGACCAGAGCGGGACTGAGAGTGAGACCAGACCAGGACCAGGCCGGGACCAGACCAGGACTGAGAATGAGACCATGCTGGGACCAGACCGGGACCAGATCGGGACCAGACCGAGACTGAGCCCGGGACTGAGACCGGGACCAGACGGGAGGCTCAGAGCCCACGACAGGGCCGGAGCTCGAAGCTGAGACTCGGACCCCGCGGACTCTCGGAGTCAAAGCTCGGAGTCTGCTCTTGTCCCTGGTCTGGTCCTGGTCTGGTCCTGGTCTGGTCCTGGACCTGGATCATCGCAGTCACGGAAGTCATGTAAACAAGAAACGGTCATTATCTGTTTTTTCCATTCTTCATTTAAAATCAAAATCGAAAACTGAAAAAACAAATCATTATCTGTTTTTTCATTTTGATTTTGGAGACAAATAATGAAGAAAACTGTTGTTTTTTTGTTTTCTTATATTTGGTTTTATATTGAAAAACGAATGAACAAATGACACACAGATTTTTGTAAACTGTTCAATATAATTTAGTGGAATCATCGTCTAACCTGCCATATGCACTTTAATGAATTACAAGTGTCTGACTTGTACCCGAGGACAGGAAGCACTTTTTGAATTCCCAAAGTTGTTTTGGAGCGACCCAGTTTGACACAAACCGGAGAGCCCTTTAGCTAACCGCATTAGCATTTAGTCAAATGAGCATCTGAGATCAGTTTAGAGGAGATGAGCCGTGATAAGAGAAGACTTTGATGGTAATGGGCACAACACGTCACAGGAGGAGAGCGCAGAGTCGTACAGTGTTCTGCGAGGGAAGCTGAAATCCTCCTGATCTTCTATAGGAATGAAAAATCAGGTGCCTAAAATTAGCTTTCAAATGGAATTAAGATTGCACTGTTTTATTTATGATTATTGGAATTTAAATTGGGGTTCATGCAGAGAAAGAGCAGCTTCATCCATTGTTCATGTGCAATCTGAAGTCTGATTTGGACTGCAGCGGATGGAGTGATGAAATAAAGATAAAGGGATGAATAAAAGAAGAGGAAGAGGAGTTTGGAGGAGCACAAAACACACAGGTATGGAGGGAAATGATATCCAAGATCCATGCAGTTTTAACTGCCAAATAATAACTGGAAAACTTATCCATACTGTGAGTGGAGTCGCTTTTCCACAGATCTGACCAGCGGTGGAAGAGTGGCCAAAAACTATTCTCAAGTAAGAATAACGTTACTTCAAAATGATATTAACATGAAACAGTAAAAGTACAAAGCGGTGGTCCTAGAAATGACTCAAATTACAGAATAACTTTGGGTTTTATTGACCTAAAAACTTGGATTGTTACTGTGAGTGAGATCGCCTCCCCATAGATCTGACATGTAACTTGTCCTGTGTCAGAGTTAAGGCAGAATTATAGAAATGTAAATGTACAAGTCAAAAAAGAAAACGTAAAATGTAGAAATATATTTATACAAACATATCTCAGCTATATACAAGAAGTTATCAAGAAAAAAGTGCAAAAATGAAATGATGATTGACAGGACACAGGGTTATGTAGGGAGTATTATCTGTTACATAAGAGTGAGTTGTACAGTTGTAGGGAGTATTATCTGTTACATAAGTTTCAGTTGTTTGTGATGATTGAAAACAAAAACAAAACAAAAAAAACATCTGTGTCTGTATTTTTTTTATTCTTACTCACTGAACCCAAACTCGCTCATGTTCAACCTACGTCACAGTGAAAAGTTTCAAATGTTTTTCTCTGACAATATAACCATTCTCATCTGGAAGCACGGTCACATCAATTATTCACTGAAATAAACGTTTTCCTTGAGGTTTTGATTTTATTTATTTTTTTTTTTCAAGTTTTCCAATGTGAAACACCAAGACTAAGTAGTTCCACTGTCAAGTTCAGAAAACAGAAAACAGGACAGACCTTCATCATCACACTGTCATTATTTTGTGTCAGAATTAAAAAATAAAATAAATAAATAAATACATTTGAAAGTCTTTGTTTAAAGGGCCCATAATAGTCTCTTTTCTGATCTGTCTTCTATTGTGATTTCCTCATCAAACAGACCTGAAGCTGTGTTTTGTTTCATTCACACGTTTAACACACAAACCTGCACATTTAGGCTGCACTGAAACACTTCATTCCACCTTGTGATGTCATGTGGTGATACAGGAAGTGCTGCACTATGTTTTTAAACCTTCACTAAAATAATTTGGATGATTTCAGTCCTGGAATTGCCCATCTCTATTGAACAGTCAAAGGGAGCTGTTGACTTGAAAACTACTGCTTCATGACATCACAAGGTGGAACGTGGTGGAGCATTTAGAGATATAGACAAACTAAAAATAAAAGATTACTCAAACGTGTGAATGAAACAAAACACAACTCTAGGTTTGTTTCTGATTAGATAAGATAATAAAATGGATTAAAGCTCACAAGTCAATTTGGTGTAATCTAGAACCTTTAAAGAGCAAACATCTGTAACATCTGCAAGTTTAAGATTTGTTTTCATCAGTAGATTGTAGATGTGAAGCCATGTACTCACTGTTTGTTAAGCTCTTTGGTCATTTCTTCTTAAGAACTACTGAAGAAATGACAGATTCCCATTTTTAGACCTTGTGTAGCTCTAGTTTAGACCTGGACTAGTTCTGTTATAGACCTGGTTTAGACCTGATTGTACTAGGAAAGCCAAATCTTTTCTTAAGGTGGTGTAAAAAAAATAGAGAACCACTTACACTGCGTTCAGACTGCAGCCTGAAGTGACCCAAATCTGATTTTTTGGCCCCTATGTTCCTGTATCTGATCTTTTAATGACAGTCTGAACCACACAGATCCGATTTTTTTCAAATGTGACCCAGGGACACTTGGATATGTGCTCCTGAAACTGATACATATCTGATCTTTTGACATGTGACTTCAGTGTGAACGGACAAAGTGCATTCATCCACCTACACGTTATCAACAAGTGACAAATGTACACAAACCTTCTTCTCGTCAGATGAAAATTGTTAATGAACTCTGTGTCACTGAAGTGAAGCACATCACCACTCACCACTCTTGGCTCCGTCTCCACATCCACATGTTCCTTTCAACGGACGTCGCTGCCGCTGTCCCACAAAACACCACGACCAAAAACCTCGTCCTTCTCCTTCTCAATCTCCTCCTTAAAACAAGTAAGTTGTTCATGTTCTGGCTCCGGTACGAGAGGAACTTTAAAATCTCCAGGTGCTCGATGCTGCGTCCATGTTTGGACAACTTCTGTAAACACAGAGACGCTCACTGCGGTTGACGTCGTCATGTCTCCAGTGTCACATGCGGGACACTTTTGGACCGTTTAATGTTCACACTGGAGTCACATACAAGTCACATTTAATTGGAAATGTGAACGACCTCGCAAAAACATCGGATTTCACAAAATAAATCAGAATTGAGCGTTAAGTCCTGCAGTCTGAACGTACTTTTTAAACTTTTTTCATTAAGGGCCACATTTCTAAACACATTCGAAGCAGAGGGTCGATCGAGGGCCATAGACGGGAGCTCAATACAGTGAATAACTGAAATACGTGCATGTTTAACACTTTAGAATGATCCATCAGTCTTTATTCATGCTAAAATCCTCAAAACCACACACCAAATCTTCAATATTGGCTTTATCAAAGTAGCTTTTCAGAAAACCTGCTGTAAAAAGTAAATTTTTAATTGATGTAAGGTCATTTGGGCCAAGTCACCTGGAAGCCTGAGGGCCAAGAAAAATTTGTCCAAGGGCCGCGTTTGGCCCACGGGCCGTAGTTTGCACATGCCTGCCTTAGTGGTTTGTCGCTGCACTGCACTGTCCTGTACGATGAAGCCTCCAGTATAAATAAAAAGTGTACAATACAAAAAAAACATATTTAGAAAGGTAATTCAAGAATATTAGGCTAATCAGACTTCTCCCATATTGCACCCAGCCACAAAAGAAACAGACATTAGTTTTCTTTCTTTCTTTTTTTGTTGTTGTCTTTATTGGTTACAGAATGATCTTTTAAAAAAAATACACTTTTCAAAATCTACTTTCACATGTTTCAAAAGAATTTAATCAACCAATGTATTTGAAGTAGTATGAATATTCTTAATAAACAGGGACTGTCCGATATAGAGTTCTTGAGCCGATACCGATATTTAGCTTTTAAAATCCATAGCGAGGCTCACACATTTACCTTAAAGCTGCATTGTGTAACTTTTCTGGTGGAGGGTCTGTCAGATACTTTTCTCCATGGAGATGTTATTACTTTGTCTGGAATGTTTCACAGTATGATATTAAACCTTTCTATTGTCACAGAGACCAAACCAGACCAAGTTACAGGTCAGATCTGTGGAGAGGCGACCCCGCTCACAGTCACAATGTCTGTTTTTTGTGGTTATTTTTTTATAAAACCACCTGTAATTGAATAAATGTAAGGTAAAGCTGTTTAATGTCACACTGTGGAACATTCTAGGCAGAGAAATTACATCTCGCTCAAGAAAAGTATTTGAATATTCAATGTTTAAAATTCCATAGAAACAACCAGGTGATGAACCCTCGACCAAAAAGTTACAGAATGCATCATCAAGTTGTATAAAAGTTTAAGCTGCAAATAAAAATCACAAATTAACTTTTCACTTTTGGAAAAATAAAAACTAAATGCATTTATCTGGGAAACTAAATAATTAGTCACATGATTGTTTAACATACTGACATATTTTTGGGCTCACACAAACAAAAATATCAGTATCAAATATCAATATATCAGCTGATACGGAAAACTCTCTATATCCGCCGATACCAATACAGGAACCGATATATCTCCCATTAACAAATCTCATCTAAACCACTGAAAACACAAATGATAAAGGCAAATCTTAGGAAATAAGCAAATAAGCAAAATAAAAGATTATTTCTGTGGGGTGTTAAATGTAACACAGAACATATTTAGATCACCATGTTACCTTTTATTGTTTTGAAAATGCTCTACCATAACACGTTTTATAAGTTTCATTTGCTCTGAGTCTCTCCTCCCTTTGCTCCCCACGCTACATCCCTCCCCCTTCAGAGCGCTATCACAGAGTCCATCCTGCTTTATGAAACTACTGCACATCACATCAGGTTTGTGAAGCAGCTGTGTACAGTTTTGTATTATGCTTTTTGTATATTTATCTAAAACTGTGGTGTGGGAGCATGGGTGACGTAGGCTGAGGAGGAGTATTGGAGAGAATTTTACTGCTAACAAGTGTCGTAGTACTTGACACCGGTCTTGGTTTTTTTTTACAGTCTTGGTCTTGTCTCGAACTCGGTCTTGTCTCAGTCTTGAAGGCGCTTGGACTCAAGGTCTGAAACTTGATGAGTGTGATTATATGTCATTACAGCCGCTGCTGTCTGTAATAAACCTGCACTGGTGTGTGAGCATGCGAAGCTCCTCACTGCAGCCTGTGCGTTTGTTTGATGTACATGTGCCAAAATAACAGTTAAAAACAAATAAAATAAATGTTGAAAATTGAGAAGATGGTCTCGATTTGGTCTCGATGGGCTGTGGTCTCGGTCTTGTCTCGGTCTTGGGACTAGGGATGGGCATGATTAGTCGTTTAATTGATGATTGATCATTAAGAATTTCATCGATTACGTTCATTTTAATCGACAAACCGAATGTAGGTTGCTGTGTGTATCGTGACCAAACAGGTGTGTACATGTGTCTCTGCATCAGAAGGAACAACACACAAACAGTGGGTCAGTCTGCAACGTACCGAAGCACAAATGTGGATTTAACAATGACTTGTACAAAAAATTCCACACTTTCCATTCCAGTCAGGACAAGTGTGAGTCCATGTGCACAGTGTACAAAGCAGGAACATATGTTTCTGTGTCCAGTGGGAGAAAGTTTTACCAGGTGAGAGTCGCTCAATGTCGATGACGAGTCCCCACCTCCCACCTCCCGTACGGTGTCCTGGTTTAGACCAACGCAAATATGGTCACACTAACCTGTATTCACCTGAGTCATGCCGCATCAGCACAAGAGCTGTTTTTTTTCTTCTCTTAGTTTATGCAAATGAGCCATGTGGTTTTAAGTTTCATTTCTGTGAGAGTTGCTCAAAACTGAATTAAACACATTCTAATGTCAAACGGGCTGATGTGGCTCTAGAGTGGTTATGGTTTATATGTCGTAAAGTTGAATTTATTTATGCAGATTAGTGCAGATAGTAATAATAATGATGATCATTTTATTATAAAAACGTTAATGATTAATTGATAATCGATCGTTAATTCTTCCAACGATCGATTAAGAAAATTTAATCGAATGCCCATCCCTACTCGGGACCCTGTGGTCTCGGACTGGTCTTGGTCTTGATTAGTTTGGTCTTGACTACAACACTAACTGCTAACTGTAAGGAGAGTTTGAATAGAACCTGGAAGAGATCTCTAGATGACTCCAACATGCATGGATGACGTCTAAAAACCTCAGGCAAAACCTCAGGCAGGTTTTTGACGAGGGATCAACATTATAATATAGTACAAAGCTCAAAATAATCACCTTTTGAATACCCTCTCTTTAATATCTATAGCAATGTTCACAAAATCAGAAAACCAGGCAAAATATGCATCACATCTGTTTGTGAGAAAATCCTAAAACAAGGAGCTACAGTAGCTCTCCAACCCCTTCCAAGTCTCGCCAAGGGATATCGGACTCATACCACTGGGCTGAACAACTAAAAAACTGGTTAATTACATGCTTATTACTATTGTTCATGTATCATTTTGAAGCCCAAATTTGTACACTAATAAATGGACAATGGTTTATGTTTTATAAGCATCTAACTGTTCCCAAAAACTCGCCCTCTTTCTTATAAACGTCTCAATTTCTTGCGGCTGCTAAAATGAGTAGATGTCTGGCATTTTGGTTTAGTAAAGGAAGCTCATCAGGAGGAAAAAGGTTGGAGACAATAAATTCATCAACCTCCTTTATCAAAATCTAAAAAGTCCTGAGGCGCTGAAGGATGAGTCAAAAGCAGAAGAAGAGTTCCTCATTTGTGAAAATCTAAAGATCACAGTTCTGTCGTCTGCAGTGGTTTTACAAAATCCAGGACTGAAAAAAAAAGATGGAATTGTCCAGAAGCGTGCACTCCTCCATCCTCACACCATGGTCTGTTTGCTGAAGAGGTCGAGGGTCACGGCCGAGAGGAACGCCGGGATGCTCTTCTGGTGGTGCAGGTGCAGAGAGACCATCTCGCCCAGCGTCTTGGAGAACTCGGTCTCCATCAGCTGCATACTGCCGCTGGAGCCCTGCGAGCGCAAACACAAAAGAACACAACCGTTAGAGTCCAGGAATCACTTTGGCTCTCGTCACGCAGTATAAAAGGAGCATTATGGAGTTTTTCTGGTGGGGGGTATCGATCACTTGGCTACCCAGAGTTACGTCGAATCGAATGTTCCTTCACGTACAAATGAAGTGAAGCCAATCCCAATGTTAGAGCACCCAGATTATCCTATTTTGTGATCATAACGTTGTTGTGTTTTGTTTCATTCACACGTGGGTCTGGTCAAGTGGTAACGGAGGGAAACAGGGGCAGATTTTTGACATTCAAATGTCTCTTATTCAGAAACTAGAGGAACTATTGAAATAAGTAAAGTATCAGAATGTAGGAAAGAGTTACACTCCAACAGGGTCAAGTTAAACCTGTGAGATTCTTTCAAGTTATTGACAAAAAATTTAAAACTCATGTGGGTAACTGAGGGAAAGAAATATGCAGCACTTTTTGGGCAATAAATCCAAACAGTGATAACTCTTGGTTCTCACTTCCATATCCTTAACAAACTGGTTTGAATATTTGCTTCATATAGTTTTCTACCATATGGTACAAGATTAGGTTGAAAAACCTCTGACTTTTTGAGTCATGAGATTTTTTATTAAGAAAGGTCATGGTAACAAGGGAAAAGTAACGGAGGGAAAATTGTGCAAACAAGTAGAAGGTGCAGGATTTTACATCATTTGTCGCTTTTTTCTTCTGAATACTTTAATATTACTTCAAAATGAAAGGAAACTATTTCTATAAAATATGTCAGTCCTTCCAAGCAATTTTTGAAAAATCCTGTACCTTCATCAACAGTTCAAAGATGGAATAACACAAGATATGAGGAAATACATTCATTTATTGACATGATTTGCAGGTCTTTGAAATTTGGGAAATAATTTTTGTTCCATGTTTCATACATGGTCTGTTTAAAACATATGGAACTTTAGAACCAAAAATGGTACAGAAAAAAGGTTTGTGACCAGGCCCATGTTTAACCCGAAAACCCTGCACATTTAGTTGTGTAATACAGGAAGTGCTCCATTGTGTTCCATACAGTGAAACAGTACAGTTCCAGACAGTAAAAGGACTTGAAAACTACCACTGCATGACATCACAAGGTAGAGCAGAGCGATTTGAGTTTTGGAAATGTAGACAGACTAATAATGCAGGGTTATTCAAACATGTGAGAATGAAACAAAACACAACTCCAGGTGTGTTTTTGACGAGGTGACATCATTCTAACATGGCTTAAAACTCACAAGAGTCAATTTCGTGTAATATAAAACTGTTAAAAGTGTGTAACATATTTATTTCAGGATATTTCGTTCATGTCTCTGCTCTCCTCAGAGTCACACGTACAAGACGAGGTTCACCAAAAGGTTTACACATTCAACATCAACTTTAGATGAGCCTTTGACCTGACACAAATGTGGTGATGGTTGAGTACCAGCCAACACACTCTGGACTATTCACAATTCTGTTTTTAGAGGTAATGCTAAAGGCTATTAGAAAAAAATGCTGACTGGCTCTGGTGTCAAAGTTAGGGCGACCAGACGTCCCTCTTAACCCAGGACAGTACCAGTTTGAGCCTGTGTCCCCTGTCCCAGCAGATTTATACAAAACCAGTGATTTGTCCCAGTTTTATACAGAAATGTCCCAGGTGTCCCTATTTTGTTTTACCAATCTTATCCCTGCCAACAGTAAAGAGAGACATAAACTGTTATTTGTTTTGGTAAAATACAGAAAATCTGCCTAAAAATGACAAAAACACAAAGAAAATGTGACTATACTGACTCACATGTTGGTCATGAATGGTCTCTGCAGAACAATTTTCCCTAATTAGGCACTAATTTCACAATTTTATTATTACCAACCACCACAAAAACATGGCTGTCCCAGTTTATTATGGTGAAAATCTGCTCACCCTAATCTAAGTGGATGGTAGCATGAACATCGAACAGGTCCACTACCTGTGTGTCTGTATGGACATGTTCTTGCTTTGCCTACACCGTGGCAGTGGACCCTTACACTGTTTGTATAATGCTCTTTTTAAACGAGGTGTAACATAAGCAGTGTGGAGGAAATGGGGACGTTAAAAATGTTGAAGCCACTTGAATAACATAAGAGAAACGATTATTTGAACTATAATGTCAACAACCAAGAACAAGGAGCAAATGTAAAGAAAAAAGTAAAAAAATAAAATAAAATCAAAACACAAAAATATGAGGAACTGAAGCTGTTTTTAGGTCGGCCAGAACGGTGCTCGAGCCACTGGGAACCAAAGTGCTTACGGTGAATGAGCCGCGTTCAAACCACTGAAGTGAACCCATGATGTGTTATCGACAGAGAGTGTGGATTTGCCACCAAATAAATGACAAGGCCATATGAAATAGAATGCACACAAATCATTATTTATCTGCACCAAGCTCTGCTACAACATCTGCTGTGGAGAAGGAGGCAGCGACACCCAGTCCAAAGATGTTCACCTCACCAGGTGAACATGGATACAGTAAATATTTGTCTCCTCCACTGACTCTTCATTTCTCCACCTTGTTTTACACACACATTTTCTTTTATTTTACCACGTGTGACCAGAATAACTCTACGATGATCTGGTATGTCTACTATGTCATCACAGTTTGCTTGGAAAAAACAAGTTTTCGGTTCCCCGAACACTCTGATTTTCGGCGTGAACACGTCAGTTGGTTCAAGATTAGGTGCGGGAAAAGCACAGGTCTCTGTTGGTCTGAAAACACTAAGTGTGATTGGTTTAACTCCGCCCCTGCAGCCAGTGTTTGTATCTGAAACATGTGTCTGTAATCAGGGCAGTCCTGTGTGATGTCACATAGTACTTGTATTTATAGTGGCCAGGAGTTATCGGTTGTTTTTGAAACTGCACATGTACCTAGTTTGTACCTAGGAAATAAAAAGGATTCGGGACAGTAGATAATCCCATAAAAAAGCATTAAAAAAGCATTAAAAAGACCATAAAAAAAAGCAAAGAGTTGATTTAGTGTTTAGTTCCACTTTAAGAAATGCATTTAGGATCTGTTTTTTGTGAGGAAGCACGGTTTAAAGGGCCTCCCCAGAGACACCCTTTCAAAGTAAGAGCCTGTTTGGTCTGCTGGCCTGTGTGTGTGCTTGTGTGAGTATGTGTGTGTGTCTGTTTGTGTTTGTGTGAGTGTGTGTGTGTGTGTGTGTGAGTGTGTGTTCACAGCAGGGCACATTCTGTGAGGATTAATTAAAACAGAGAAGCCCGCGGGCACTGGAATGACAGAGGAGGGATGGAGGGATGAGAGAGAGAGAGAGAGAGAGAGAAGAGGGATGAGGAGAAGAGTGGAGGCAGGAGGAGAGAGGAGGAGAAGTGAAGAGAGAGAGAGGCCCAGGAGACAGAGCAGGGATGGACAGAGGAGAGGACGGACAGAGTAGTGGAGGCGAGAGGAGGAATAGAGACAAGAGAGATAGAGTGGGAGAGGAGGAGGGATATAGGTGGAGAGGAAAGGAAGGAGAGAGGAGGGATGGAGACAGGGAGAAAGGAGAGGAAGATGTAAGAGCAAGGATGGAGAGAGGGAGAGAGAGATAGAAGGGAGAAGGAAGAAGCAACTTAGTAATTAAAGTGGTCCCCAGACTTAACAACATATTGAGATGTTTCTGGAAGTGTGTGTGTGCATGTGTGTGTGTGTGTGTGTGTTGCCCAGGGAGGAAGAGGAAGATGACGCCAGCTGGGAGAGTGGTGGTACAAATGTGTGGAAAAATTAGGAACTTGCCGCCAAGGGAACACTGGCGTCAACATTTCAGAATATTTGTTAAAGATTTATGCTTTTTTTGGTAAATTGTTCATCGCAAACTGCAAGACTGAGCAGTAAGGAAGCGAATCAGGGAATTGAACCCCAGACCTTCTCACTGTAACTTCCACATGAATACTGGCTCGTGAAAACATAATGACCTCATGAAGTCTCCCGCTGATCAGTTTGGTGTGTGATGTGTTCAGAGAGCAGGTTTTGGGAGTTTTAGATCTGACAGTAATTCACTTATTACACAACAGATCCAACAGTGTTATGTAACAGTAAAAGTTCAAACAGTATGAGACGTTCTGGACCAAAATCAGCCTGGAATAGTCTTAGGGTGAGCTCCCAGCAGCCCAGTCCAGCACTAAAGCTTCAGTGTCGTGTGTCCAGTGGTTGGAGGTTGGAGGAGGTGGGCCGAAGCACATGTGCCTCACTACTGAATCGATATTTCATGCCGCCGGACTTATTTTCTGTGCTTAAAGGTTACTGCAGATTCTGTCATTGTCTGAGTGAGTGACAGCTGATGGAACCAATCACAGTCAAGTGTGAACTAAGACCCGACTGATATGGACTTTTTGTGGCCGAGATGACACCAATAAAATGGGAGTTGGAGGTGCTGATAAATCCGTGTGTCATTCGTTCATTTGTTTTTCAATATAAAACCAAAAATACGAAAACGAAAAAACAACAGTTTTCTTTGTTATTTGTCTCCAAAACCAAAATGAAAAAACGGATAAGGATTCGTTTTTTTCAGTTTTTGATTTTGTGTTTAAATGAACATACAGACTGAACCAGGACTGATCCAGGTCCGGGACCAGACCGGGACCAGAGTGTGACCAGGGTGGACTCCGAGCTTTGACTCCGAGCCTCAGCTTCGAACTCCGGCCCTGCCGTGGACTCTGAGCCTCCGGTCTGGTCCCGGTCTGGTCTCGGTCTGGTCTCGGTCCCGGTCTGGTCCCGGTCTGGTCTCGGTCTCGGTCTTTTGCAGCGCAAAAGTTCGGCATCGCAGTCACAGAAGTCAGGTAAACGGGAAACGGCCGTTATCCGTTTTTTCCATTCTTCATTTAAACTAAATCGAAAACTAAAAAAATGAATCGTTATCTGTTTTTTCATTTTTGGTTTTGGAGACAAATAATGAAGAAAACTGTTGTTTTTTCGTTTTCTTATTTTTGGTTTTATATTGAAAAACGAATGATCGAAT